TCATATAGACGCGAATCCGCGAATTTCGATTCTTGAGCGAAACTGCTCTCCATTGGTCCAATTTTTCTGATCATGGCGGCGTGTCAGCAAATTTTAAGATTCTTGGGCGATTTCGCAAGATTTAAAATTTTGGGGGCGGGAAAGTTAAAGTGTTATTTCACTTTTTGGCGAATATTACCGCGCGAAATTTAAGGTTCACGTTTGCGCAGAATGGTGTTGTGAGCCGGTTATCGTTTATTTTGACGACGCTGCCGCAAAGTAACTGAAAGCATTTCTCCATTTGAAATGGGTTCTCGTACATAATATGTTTTTGTATATATATGGCGACAATTTTTCCACTTCAACCAAGTTATCAAACTCCTATAAAGACAATCTGTGAAAATTCCTAAATTTTTTCAAAAAAAAAAAAAAAAATTATTTTTTTGCAAATAAACTGGCGACAACAGCACCTTGTTGCTTACGACAATTTGAATACTTTCTCTGTCCCAAATGCCCATAAATGACTATAAACCTGCTGCTATAACTCCGTTCTCTTTTACGTTTTAACAATAAGTAAATGGCAATTTTACACCTTATTCTATTCCAATCTTCGTAATCGATATTCATAATATTAAGCAATTAAACTCATATTGTAGTGCTATTACAATAATAAAGTAAAGATCGTAAACACGAATAAATATGTATATTTTTTTTTTTTTTTTTTTTTTTTTTTTTTTTTTTTTTTGGTATACTTTCAGTGGAGCAAAAATGAAATGTCCCTAAAAATTCGCGACTGTATGAAATAGGTCCAAATTTTGCGAATATTTTTTGGCGAATCGCTTTTCGCGATTCGCGTCTATATGAAACAAGCTTGAGGCTGATCTTTTAATAGAAGGCACTGATTTATCTATGGGACAGACTGACAGTTATGACTGACAGTACACTGACAGACAGAACAGAAACCCAGAAATGTCCAGAAACCTTTGAAATCCAAAGGTGATCCACAGCCTTTGTTTATGTCCACAGCAATCCCAAATTCCAAACCAAGATAATAGAGTAATTAATCCAACGTTGAAATCAGTTGAAATTTTATGCTTGAAATCATCAATCAAAAAGGTTCAAGAATTCTTTCATTTGTAGTCAAATGAGTGGTGGAAAATCTATTATTAGTCAACCCATCTGAGATAGCAAATATAATCTTGATTTGTATGTGATCTGTGATCTTGATTCTACCATCAAAATCCCCATAATGGTTTAGAGGTATTTGTATTTAAAACCAGAAAACACAAAAATGGATTTTAGTAGTGTAAAATCTGAGTTAGTGGAGGAATATCAACATGCGATAAATGGCCAACAAATTGAATTTATTGATAATGAAAGAAATAACGAAAGTCAAAATTATCAGGTCAGAATTTTAACAAAGTAACTTGAATGCATAATCTGGAATATGGTTATTTTAGTGTGAGGATTGTTTGGAGGAGTTTCAGGCAATAGAGTTATACGAGATGCACAAAAATATACACAGGCCTGTTGAAAAATGTCCTACTTGTAACCGTAGTTATAAACTAATAAATAGGTTTCAAGAGCATATTGAATCGCACCTAAACAATTATTTAAAGTGTACTTTTTGCCCCAAAATTTTATTCATGAAGAAGGTTTACACGAAACATATCTCATGGCATAAAAAATTTGAGAAACATTATGAGTGTTCATTTTGTAACAAGGTAAGAAAAAGAAGATATCTCAGTAAAGAAACAATATTTAACAATTTTTTAAGGCTTTTTCTCTTCAAAAACAACTTACTATTCATGAAAGAGTGCATACCAATGAAAGACCTTTTGTATGTAACATATGTAATAAGACTTTTAAACAGAACGGTAGTTTACATAGTCATATGAACACCCACATGGAAGAAAAGAAGTATATATGTCATGTATGGAATGCATTCTAAGATTTTCTACTGTAGAGTAACTTCAATTTATATAATTTTAGATATGCCAAGGAAGATTTGCGACATCTTCAAGTGTAAACAGGCATGTAAAGAGAGTTCATGAAAATGGTGTTAGTTTTTCATGCAGATTATGTGAACTTGAGTTCTACAATAAATTCAGTTATTATGAGCATCGAAAAGAACAACATCCAAATTTAAATAACTACTTCAGAACATGTCCAGTGTGTTCAGAGCAATTTAATACAAAGAGAAGTTATTTAAAACATAAAAAAATGCATGAAAGCAGAGGAGAAATACATGTTGTTCGTGCAGTAAGATTTTTTCTTTTAGATGTTACAGTGAAAGTTGGAAATCTTGTGAATGTTAACTGTTACTAGGAAATGCTAACAATTACACATTGGACCAGTGAATGTTATATTTTAAAGAAATTTGTTCACTTTTACTAGTAATTTTTGGTAGTCGTTAGTAACAGTAACTTTTACTAAAGTTTTTTCTAAAATGTTTGGAATTTAATGTAGAGGGTGTCCCATTTTTGCGTGTTTTACAAGGTTTCTCGTTTATGAGTAGTGATACAAATATGCGGTTGTTATATCACTTTTTTATGAAACTAAAGATTTTACACACATATTTATCTTAGCCCTCTTAGTTCCTTAATTACAGGGTGAATTTGAAAAATTTTCAAATTTGCCCTGTATTTCGGTTAACTTATTATTTATGGAAAAGGTAAAAGGGTAGTAAACTGTATGATTTTTCACGTAGAATCCAGTGAAGTAAATAATTTTTCACTGGGAGTTGTCATTTTTGAAATATCAATATATCAATATCAGTCAAACTTATGTTTTTTTTAAATGAAACCCTATACAGGGTCTGGCAGTAGTGCATCGGGCATCTGTAGCTCCTATAATAAAAAACTTAGGAATTTTGTTTAAGTGCAGACCTAAAGTATGTATTAGGATGTATTTCAGGAAAAATTTTTTAACTTAAGGTTTTTAATAACTTAATTTTTAACTATAGGTTGGCTAAAAAAAGTAAGTGGATCGGGAAGTTTTTTTTTTAAATTTAACCCTGTATATTATTGAATTTTTGGCTTCCTTTCAGGTCACTACATAATCCTAAGATATGAGTAAATCTAGTTTTATAGTTTCAGAGATATTAATAAATAAATAAAAAATATACATTTTCAGCCTTTCTTAAAAAAATTATTAAAAATACAAGAACTCTCCTGAAATCAAAACTATATTTGATATTTACTTTAGATGGTCTGTACTTAATTTGCTATAAATATAGTACTTCTAAATTATACAGAATGTTCAAAATTCTACGCCAAACTTTTTAAAATATAAAATAATTTCCCGTTTTTTTTTAAACCTTGTATATTGTTTTTACAATCGATGGAGAATTAGAAAATGAACATTTTTTGCATTTAATGCATTTCAAAATTTTTAACGGTTTCGCAGATATTCGCGGTTTTATATTTCAAATGGCATTTTCCACAGTAAATTTTTATCAAAGCCACCCAATGATTTTTCTCTCGTATTTTACCGTTGAAAGAGCCATATGAAACAATACTGCGTGTATCTGCGAAACCATTAAAAATTTTGAAATACTTTAAATACAAAAAATGCTCATTTTTTAATTTTCCATCTACTAAAAAAATAATATACAGGGTGACCCATTTAAAAAAAAACAATTTTTTACATACTTTAGGGTTGCACCCCAAAAAATATTTTTTTTGGAAATTCTCAAAGTAAAATAACTCCATTATTTTGGACTTATTTGAAAAATGATAAAGAGAAAATATGTTTCTTTTGTCGAGATCTACCACCCCTTAAAATACTTGCACTTATTTCTGGGACACCCTGTATAGATGCTGCATCTACCTAACTTGGTCCAAGTACACTTGGACTGTGTCAACCAGGCTTTACTAGTTCAAGGCAATGCTGAATGAGATTTTGACGTACATAAAGTTTTTTCTTGCCTAAACATTTTTTTCTTGTACAGGGTGTCCCACTAAGAATAGCTCTCGGCTGTATCTCGGAAAGTATTTGCCGTAGGGCTTACGGAAAAAGTATTTATGACTTAAAGGGCTATGAGAAATTGCAGGAAATTATTTTCAAGTTTGTAAAACGGCCGCTAGGGGGCACAACTGCTATGGAAAATAAGAAAATAGAATTTTTACAGAATTTTGCCTAGATAATGGGTACTGTAAATAATAGCTTCATAATCTTCAGTAAATTTTGGATTTTTTTTTGTTAGAACCATTTTCTGTCAAAGTAAAGTGGTGGGGGAAGGTTAGATCTAGTTTTATTTAAATATTAATAACTCCGGACTGTATGAACGGAATTCAACAAGCTAGAGCTCGTTTAAAAGAGCGTTTCTTACTCTATATTATACCATAAAAATAATAATAATAAGGTTTTGAACGTAGACGGTAGGGGGCGCTTTCTTACAATTTAACAAACATAGCGCGTTTTTTCAAAAAAATTAAATATGATAGTATATGTAATTTTAGCTAATAGTAAAGAGTAGTAAAAGCTTAAAAAGTCAGCGTAAACCGCATCTTGATATCTTCTTTCAAACCGAAGATATTAGCAAAATTATAATAAATACCAAAAAATAAGCCCTTAATTACCTTATTTTTACAATACGGTATCAGTAGCCCTCTTGATTATGTCCATTCCAACAAAAAAATAAGGTAGAAACAGTTAGTTCATTTTAAAATCGACGATATACCAGAATACCATAATACTAAATGTATTAATATCTAATAATTAAAATATTAATAACAGTGAAGAAGAAACGATTAGTCAGTGAAGTCATGGTAGGCTTTGGAAAAAAGTTGCTTTTTACCTAATAGTATAAACGTCAAATTGTTATTAGATCAACATTTTAATAGTCTTAGCAGATTTTTTTATCTTTTGATTGCTTTTTCAAAATGCCAACAACTTCAACTACTTCAAATAATAAGGGTATTTTGAAAAAGCAATTAAAAGATAAAAAACGCTGCTAAGACTATAAAAATGTTGATCTAATAACAATTTGACGTTTATACTATTATATCAAAAGCAACTCTTTTCCAAAGCCTTCCTTGTTCACTCTTATTAATATCTTCATTATTAGATATTAATGCATCTGGTATTACGGTATCCTGATATATTGTCGATTTTAAAATAAACTAACTGTTTCTATCTTATTTTTTTATTGGAATGGGCATAATCAAGAGGGCTACTGATACTGTGTTGTAAAAATAAGGTAATTAAGGGCTTATTTTTTGTATTTATTATAATTTTGCTAATATCTTCGGTTTGAAAGAAGATATGAAGATGCGGTTTTCGCTGACTTTTTAAGCTTTTACTACTCTTTGCTATTAGCTAAAATTACATATATTATCGTATTTAATTTTTTGGCAAAACGCGCTATGTTAGTTAAATTGTAAGAAAGTGCCCCCTAGCGTCTACGTTCAAAACCTTATTATTATTATTTTTATGGTATAATATACCGGGTGCGTCTCAAAAGTGGCCCACCCCTTTAACTTTTTTATTTTATGCAGATAAAACAACGAGATTTTGTATGTTAGTATTTGACATAAATTGGTATTGATTGACGTATTCAATTGTTTTCGGTCACTTCCGGTTTCACCGGAAATGACTACAACTTTTGATTTTTAAATGGCACCCTCGGTCTTTTTTTACTTTATTCGATAAAAAATGACACTCTGAATCGAATGACATATCATATGTCAATTTTTGACATAGTCACTTAAAAACAAATTCTATTTTAAATTTCAATCTAGAGTGCCATGGCTGTGTTAAAAACACTAATTTTTAATCAAGGAGTCTTGGAAAAATAGATTTGATCGTCTAATGTTTTTAGTGTCTTGTCCTGGCCGGTTAAAAGATGCCCAAATCGTATTTTTAATCATATCTCAATTTTTTCAAATGGAACGAGGGTGGCTCATTAGTATATTTAGAAAAAGCATTTTTTTACGAATAATTTGATACCACACACTTGGTATTTTAAGTCAAATTGTCGTTATGAACCGCATGTTACAATTTCAAATAAACCATATGTCAAAATGTCAAAAGTTGACATATGATATGTCATTCGATTCAGAGTGTCATTTTCTATCGAATAAAGTAAAAAAATTCCGAGGGTGCCATTTAAAAATCAAAAGTTGTAGTCATTTCCGGTAAAATCGGAAGTGACCGATAACAATTGAATGCGTCAATCAATCCAATTTATGTCATATACTAACATACCAATTATCGTTGTTTTATCTGAAAAAATAAAAAAGTTTTAGGGGTGAGCCACTTTTGAGACGCACCCGGTAAGAAACGCTCTTTTAAACGAGCCCTCGCTTGTTGATCGTTCATCCAGTCCGGAGTTATTAATATTTAAATAAAACTAGATCTAACCTTCCCCCACCACTTTATTTTGACAGATAGGGGAAAATGGTTCTAACAAACAAAATCCAAAGTTTACTGAAGATTATGAAGATATTATTTATAGTTCCCATTATCAAGGCAAAATTTTGTAAAAATTCTATTTTCCTATTTTCCATAGCAGTTGCGCCCTCTAGAGGCCGTTTTACAAACTTGAAAATTATTTTCAGCAATTTCTCATAGCCCCTTTAGTTATAAATATTTTTTCCGTATGCCCTGCGGTTAATACTTTTTGAGATACAGCCGAGAGCTAGTCTTAGTGGGATACCCTGTACATTTTGCTTTGTATTTGCAAACAAAGTGTACATTTTGCAATTTTAATCTTTATAAACATACAACTACGTTCCAGTCCAATGAATGTTAACAATAACTAGTAAAATTTGCTTCAAAAATAGTTGCAAATTAAAACAGTAATTCACCACAATACACCGAAACACGTTAGTTTTAATCATCTGCTAATGGTGCTAATATGGTAAGCGAAACGCGCGTCCAGTGCAAAAGTAAATTTTTTTATGTATTGTGGTGAATTGTGAATTAGTGTTTTATTTTGCTGTTGTAACACCAAAGGTTCCAACTTCAAACTATAATAAAATATAGTTATTGATTTTTTTCTGCGTAATTTTAGCAAATGTAGTGACTGTGTGACAAATTCTTTACATTCACTGAAGTTTTACCTGTACCAATATACACTCAGATGCAAAAAAACGTAACGTAATTTTAGGTCAAATTTAAAGTGTTATATTTTTGTTATTTTTAGCCCTATTTTCATGATTTTTTTTAGCAAACTGTGTATAATTATATCAACTATAATTCGTAAATTAAGTTTTTTATAAACTTTAGTATTTGGCATATTATTTATTTTTTTTTAATATCCTTTATTGCCAACAATATCCACAATATACAGACAAAGCAACGTCAAAACCAAGTTAAAAAGTAAAGTCAAAAAGTAAGTTAAAAACTGTAAGTATAAAATAAAACATAAACAATACATGAAAACGTATACAACACGTTAAAATTTGCTAAAACTAATAACTAAATCTAAACGATTAAAATTGTTTTGTGGCTAAAAATGTTTTGGTCTTAGTCTGGAATCTTTGCAGGCTTTGTGTCTCTTGTATTTCAGAGGGCAACATTTTAAAAGTCTTAATGGCTCTGTATACAGGGCCTTTTTCAAAAAATGTAGACCTGTGGATGGGTATAGCAAGTGCATTTCTGTGCCTAGTGACCATAGACATTTCTTCCGAGTATCCTTGGAGGTTAGTTCTAAAGGTGTTAGGCTGTTTTTTAACAAATAGTACTAGGGCTAAGAAGTACAGCGAAGGAGCAGTTAACGCACCCAATTTATCAAAATAAGGCTTGCAAGACGTTCTAGGATGTAGGCCGAATATACAGCGAATTATCCTTTTTTGAGAAACAAACACATCCAAGGCATACCTTCCCGATCCCCATATTAGAATACCATAACTTATCAAAGACTGTACATTGGAGAAGTACAAACTTCTTAAAGTTTCCAGAAAAAGTTCATCTTTTAAACGCCTGAACAATCCGCAATATTTATTGAGTTTTAATGAAACACTGTTTGTATGGTTTTGATATGATAGAGTGGAATCCAAATATATTCCCAGAAATTTCACACACTCCTGCTCAACTACCGATTTTCCGTTGAGTGTTACATAAAGAGACTCACTAGTCTTGCACCTACTGAACGTGACCAGTCCTGTTTTTTCTGTGTTTAGTTTTAGGTTTTTGTCCGAACACCATTGCCTCATCCGATCAGCTGCCAACGAGCACTTACGTGACAACTGATCTACTGTTTGCTCAGATGCTGAAGCCGAGCTATCGTCAGCAAATTGACATAAAATGTTAATATTCATAATTTCTTTGAGATTGTTCACATACAGCAAGAACAAAAGCGGCCCTAGGATGGATCCCTGAGGTACCCCCCGCTCAAGGGAGACAGACCCCGAATAGTGCCTAGCACCCAACTCTGTAATGCAAACTAGTTGTTTACGGTTTGCTAAGTATGACTTTATGAGATCATAACATGTTTCCCTAATGCCGTATCTGTATAATTGCTCCATAAGAATTCCATGGTCAATAGTGTTAAAGGCCTTCGACAAATCAAAGTACAAACCTGCCACTTTTTGATTTTGGTCTAACTGATCCATAATAAATAAATTCTACTGTCTTAAATACTGCCAACTCTGTTGATTTGTGTTGTTGAAAGCCGTATTGGGTATTACTTAATATATTATGTCTACTCATAAAAACTACTAGGCGGTTGTAAATTGATCTCTCGAAAACCTTTGACACTGATGGAAGGAGCGACACTGGTCTATAGTTATTTTTGAGCTGCGGGTCACCTTTTTTAAAAATCGGGACAACTTTTGCCACTTTCAGGGCTTCTGGGTAGAGACCCGTCTGGAACATTTGATTGATTATTAAGCTTAGAGGTTTACTAATATATTTTGCTACTTTTTTAATTATCATTACAGGCACGTCATCGGGTCCCGATGAGTATTTGTTGGGAAGTTTTGTTAAAATGTCATATATTTCGTCTGCACTTGATGGGCTTAAAAATATACTAAGCGGTATCCGCTCCCGAGAGTAGGAAGCCTCACCAATCTGGCTCGGCAGAAAATCAAGGTGAAAATGATCGCTAAAAATATTAGCTATTTCAGCTGGGTTTTCGATCACTTCTCCAGTGCCTGATTTTAGCGACACGGATTTTAATTTATTTTTTTTTGTTAGTTAAATTGTTTAATAAGGACCAGGCAGATTTATTTTTATTGCACGAGTTATAAATTTTGCTACTGTTTATAGATTTTTTGTAATTAGATAAAAATTTGCGGTAATTTTTTTTCTCTCTTTTATAGTACTCACCAATTTCCTGCGAATTTGTTTTTTTTGTACCAAACATACAGATCTTTGATGTATTTGCTGTACTCTTTGATTTCAGTATTTACCCATGTGTGTCTGTTGTTTTTATTTGTTTTGGATTGACATTCTGGAAAGGACAATTCGAAGTAGTAATTGAAACATTGAGAAAACTCGCTATACATTCGGTCCACACTTGCCTCTGGCTTTACAGTATGCCATGTTTCATGTTCAAGATATTGTACAAACCTAGAAATATTGTTTTGTGTAAAAAAGCGTTTTCTGATATATTGTACTCTCTCTTTTTCATTTGCTATTTGAAAAGTTTATAATTGACCATAATGATCAGCTATATCTTATACAGCTTATACAGGGTTAATCGAGAGGTTGTTTTTTTACCTTAACTTTAAAACACCCTGTGCAATAATTTCGTGTATACATTTTCTTAAAATATAATTTTACGGTCAGAAACATGTCTCCTGAGCATTTTGTTTTTTGGATCATGTCAATATATGCCCTGGTTAATTTTTAAGAGCGAAATGAACTTGACACCAACAATTTGCAATTTTTTCAATCATCATTATCTTTTGATGTAATTTTTTAATATGACGTGATGGTTTTGGTGACTATTGTCGTAATGTCATATTACGCTGCATTGGATACTTTATACTAAATTTAAAATAAAACGTTTAAGACTAACGATACAGTCTTGGTTTTAATAAACATTAATAACGATAACAGAACTAACGATATTAAAGAAAGCATCTGTAATACTTAAGTATACAAACGGGAAAAAAAAATGTAAAAAATACCCTAATACTCTCCATTGCTTGCCTTGGCTGATATAATGCCTGTATACGTCCGTTCATACTGTCATTGAGGCTGCATCTATCATATTTGTTATGCTTTCCCACTCTTCTTTAAGAACCAACCGAAATTTATTTAATGAAGCTGGTACCGCTTTTCGACCTCTAACCCTCCTGCCAAGCATGTCCCAAACGTCGAACATGATGGGCAGTTCATAGTAGTATATAGTTCACAATAGTCACCAAAGCCGGCTTGTCATATTGAAAAATAACTTCAAAAAGAAGTGATAATTAAAAAATTGCAAATTCTTGGTGTCAAGTTCATTTCGCTCTTAAAAATTAACCAAGGCATATATTGACATGATCCAAAAAACAAAATGCTCAGGAGACGTGGTTTTGACCGTAAAATTATATTTTAAGAAAATTTACACACGAAATTATTGCACAGGGTATTTTAAAGTTAAGGTAAAAAAAAACTCCTTGATTAACCCTGTATAATATGCCAAATACTAAAGTTTATAATAAAACTGAGTTTACAAATTAAAGTTGATATAATTATATACAGGTTGCTAAAAAAATCATGAAAATAGGGCTAAAAATAACAAAAATATAACACTTTCAATTTGACCAAAAATTTCTCCGTTGCGTTTTTTTGCATCTGAGTGTATAAACTATAAAATAATAAAATTATATAAGAGTTTCTTGCCTTGAACTGCTAATATAGAAATTAATTCCACGGTGTCTTCGACATAATGTGGATCAACCTGCTCTCACTGCCGGTTTCGGGGCCCTATCCCATCATCAGGTGAGCTTGGGTCGTTTCCACAATATGTCGAGCACAGCGCAGAGTATATAAACACGATTTGTCGTAAAGTAGCGGTAAGATATTAAGTCCCGCATCGCAAGATAGCGGCCTGCGTGCAATGGTAGTACTAAACCGGTAGTGAGAGCAGGTTGATCCACATTATGTCGAACACAGCGTGGAATTAATTTTTATATTAGCAGTTCAAGGCAAGAAACTCTTATATAATTTTATTATATACCTAAAAACTGCAAGAAATTTATTTTCCATTATATAACTATAAAATATATATAATATAAACATCTCCTTCAGGTCAGAATATCAAGAAATAAAAAAAAGAGCGATAAAAACTTTAGGAAATGTGTATTATGTGGTATATTGGTGGATTACAAATCTTATTATTTCCATCTTAATAAGCACTTACATATGACAGATGATGAGGTCAAAAATTGTGAAAGGATTTCTTTGTTTCCTTGTAAAGAATGTGAATATGTATTTCCTTCTAGGGAAAAAGCTATTAGACATATGGAAATACATTTAGAGAAATCTTTTGTGTGTGAAAAGAAAGGTAAATGTACATATCCTATAATATTTCTTTTTTTTAGTATAATTTTTTTTAGATTGTGACATTAAAACAGCTATGACTTATATGTCATATACCGTGCACAACAGCAAATTCCATGAAAAGTTTATATGCCAGTTGTGCAAAGTTATATTTGTTGGTTATGCAAAGTATAAAAAGCACAGAGTATCTTCTTGTAAGACGAAGAAAAAAAAAGAAGTGTTTGTATGCAAGTGGTGTAAGTTGAATTTCACTAGTAGCCAAAGGTTATTAACACATTACTGCCACTATAAAAAATGTTACTCTGCATACCAATGTTCAGCTTGTTGTAAATCATTCTCTTTGCTCATTAGTTTGAAAAAACACATTTTATTGTCTCATAAGAGCAAAAAAGTGTCCAATCATGTAGAAAGAGGTAAATTTAAGTGTAAACATTGTGGCGATTTGTTTGATTCTTCAAACCAGTTAATAAGGCACGAAAGAAGATGTTTGTCTTATATGCAATGTGAAAAGTGTAATAAAAATTTCGCACTTCTCAAGTCTTACATCCTTCATGTAGAAAATGAAATGTGTTCAGTTGATCCAAATAAACTCTTTTGTACTCCCTGTAACAGAAAACTAGGCACTGTAGAAGCATTTAAAAAGCATATGAAAAATGTCCATGCTGAGTCTGGTCTTCAGTGCAGGTACTGTAATCAAACATTTAAAAATAATGAAAGTTTACGCCAACACATGATACGCAAACATCCAAACAATGAAAAATACTTTTGTAAATTTTGCAAGCTGGGTTTTGTCAAGTTTCAGCAACTGTTGTTCCATAGGAAGTCTCATTTAAGTAAAAAAAATGCTAGGGTTGAACAAATAGCTAAGGTTCAAGATACTTCTTAAGGATATTTTGGTAAAAGTAAAGAATATGACAGAGTAAATTAATTTTTTTTTGAGTTTGTTTAGTGTCTCCAATATATCCCTACTATATATGTCCTTCAGAAACTTTTTTCCATAGAACAACTTGTAAACATAAGGTTATGAGTGTTTTTTTAACGATATGAACCTTTAAACTGTTCCAAAATAAATGGACATTTTACAATACTGCAACCGCTAATATCGCAAAATGCATGATGCTACTTTCGGCTTTAATCATCTACTATGATAAGAACGTATAGGATGTTAGCATTTTATTTGATCCAGTTTTAAGTGGTTATATTTATTTATTTTTAGAGATAATACATTTATTAAAAAAAAAACACAGAATTTTTAGTTGTTTTAATATGTATTACAGGTATTACTCTTGTTTAAATAATATAGAACAATGGTATTACCATAAATGTCACAAACTGGCAAATGTTAGTTATTTGAATAAACCTCAGATGTATAAACTATATTTTTTTTAAATGGCGATAAAACTTGATTCCTAAAAGCCCTACAATTTGTTTTTGTGACCATTCTATACTCAAAAATAAAATGATAATATAGCATGTTAAAACTGGGATAAAATAAAATGCTGACCCTTTTTAGGGTATTCCATTTTTGTTGCAAATGAGTGTTATCAAAAAGCTTAATAATCAAGTATACTTTGAATGATGATTGAAAATTCTTATAGAGAATTATAAATACTTGATTATTTCTCTCATCATGAAATGGACCAATCAGCTAATCTAATTTTTCGAATAAATTTTGTTTAGATAAGCGATTAAATCCCAAGACCAGTTTAACCGCGATTATTTTTTCGGCCTTCTTTTGGGTTTTCTTTTTGTCGTTTATCACTAATTCTGAGATATTTCTATTATATTCATTTAAAAACATTGATTTACAACTCATATGTATCACTTAATAACGATTTTAATCGGTGAAAACCCCTTAATTCGATATTATTTTGAACAAATACTGGAGGAATAATAGTGGAGAAAAATTCGTCAGAATTTGATATGTTGACATACGAAACTGTCCTCGATGCATTGTTGGGATGCGTAACCAAGGTTGCAGAAGCACAAACATTACTTACGAGACGCCATTGTGAAACGTCTTTTTATTTTAAAAAATTTTAAACTATTTTATTTACCGCTGTAATTTGTTGTTTGTAAAAAAATGTTGTCCGAAAATGTTAAATTTTATAGTTAATAAAATTCTTAAGGTGTATTCATTATCCGAACGAACGAACGAACGAGCGAGCGAACGAATGGAATTCGGTATATTTGGACGGTGGATCGAACGCATGCGGTCGTTCGTTTGTTCGTTCGCTCGGCCATCCGTTTCAAGTCGTTACATCAAAGGCGTTCGCAAACGAATGGGTTAAGGTGTTTTCGTTTGGTTCTAAAATCCGGCTCCGTTCATACTACTACCGATCGAACGAATGAACATTCGTTCGTTCGTTCGGATAGTGAATACGCACCTTTATAGTTATTTGCTTCATCCTAAGTCATTCGCTTCATTCTAAGTCATTCAGGAAAAGGTGCGTATTCATTATCCGAACGAACGAACGAACGAACGAATGTTCGCTAGTGGTATGGACGTGGACCGTACGATACCGAACGCCTTTGATGTACCGACTCGAAACGGATGGCCGAGCGAACGAACGAACGAACGGCCGCATGCGTTCGGTCCCCGTCTAAATATACCGCACTTTCATTCGTTCGTTCGTTCGTTCGGATAATGAATACGCACCTAAATAATCTAGCCGTATATCACTCAACCTATAAATTTAATTCATTAAACTACCCAAATAATTTTTTGCATGATTTTGCTTTTTAGAAAGTTTAAAAAAAATAAAAACAAAAGTAAAAAGAGTAATCTAAAAGCTTGACTAAAAACTTTACTCAAAGTACATACTCCAGAGTCGTTTGTGACAAAATAAATTAATAATATCGTATTACTTGACCTAACCCAAGGGGGGTGCTTGAGCCCCGAAGCCTCCCCCCGTGGATCCGCCACTGGTTAAAATCATGTTTCGCTGGACGAACTGTATTATACAGGGTCCGGCACTAGTGCGTCGGGCATCTGTAGCTCCTAGAATAAAACACTTGGGAATTTTGTTTAAGTGCAAACCTAAAGCACAAATTACCTATAACAGATGCGAAAGAAAGCGACTGCATCGGAAACCGCTCGGCAAACCCGACACGCCTATTGAGTGGTGTAAATACACCAGTCGTTTAGTCCGGAGACCTATGCTGTGTCGTATTCGCTTGCTGGAATGACATAGTGCGTGGTTATGTAGAAATTTCTCACATGGGTGGTCAAATTTTATAGTTTTCATTATATCAAACAGCCTCTGAGAAATGCCTTTAATTATGTTTGACTACATCATTAAAAAGGGTCTTCAAATACATCAATGTGATATTTGTCTAAAATTTGCAAAAGAATCCGAATCTCTGGATAACTCGAAATTATTTACCCATTTAAAAGCCTTTGATCATGAAAGTGGAAAAATTTGTTCATTTTATTTACAGGCTGGAAAAATTATTTATATTAAATTTTGATGAGTTTTGCACTGAAGAAAACATTCAGAGGCTGTTTGATATAATGAAAACTATAGAATTGTGAGAAACTTCCTCTTATTTACATCATTAAATTATTTATTAGATTGAAAATATTTTATGCATTAAAGTTTACAAAAAATAAAGATTTATATAGTCGAAAAAAGTCCGATAGAACCAATAGAAATGTAACTACTTTGTCACATCTTTAATTAAATTTTGTTAAATAAATTAATTTTTTATACTATAAATATCTTTTTTTCCTAATCTCCTACGAGCTGATATAATATGACGAGCAATCTATTAAATTACTGTGAGATTATACAGAAAAGTCCACAGACTTCGAGACATAGGAAAATCAAGTCCATTTAGCGTGTGTCCAAATTTTGACAAGTTTTCAAAAATGACAGTTTTGTTTAGACTGACGTTTAATTTCACCTGACTTCTCGGTGAATGATTTCTTTTTATGGGGGTACATAAAATCTAAAATTTACGGCCATGAAGAAATTCAAAACTTGGAGCAGTTAAGGCAGAAAATATTTAATGCCTTTGACACTGTCACCCCTGATATGTTATCCAATGTGAGGAGGGGATTTTATGATCGTTTGGGTTATTGTTTAATGCAAGAGGGAGGCACTTTTGAACAATTTTTGTAATTTTTTAAATTTCATTATCCTGTTTTTTTACCGTTTACCCATTACCTACCTTGACGAACATGGGAAAACGAAGGTCCTTTTCAGGACCACAAATATTTTGATTGAGAAAATTGGTAACTTTTTTTTGGATTAAAAAACAAAAGTTGTTAATATAATACCAATTTAAAAGTGTTTTAGTAGTTTTAATACACACTATGATATAAAATTTATTATTATTATAATGTACATTATTAATACTATTGTTCATTCGAAATGGCATTAAGGCCCAATTGCAACAATGATTTAAATTTTTCTTAAAGATAAGTAGAGCTTAGAATGAGCTCTATTTATATTTACTTTAATATCCACCTTAAATGAGGGGAATTTGACTGATACAATTTTTGAATTTGAATTGTTTTTAATGATACTAACAATTTTAGTTCAATTTTTAATAAAATTTATTTAATATTAATAGAAATCAAGAGATTTGAAACCTCTTTTAGCGATTTATAACATTCTCAAATGAATTACAGGTGCCCTTATTTTCTATGAAAATCACACAGCTTTTTTCATAGTCGCTGCAGTTGCTATAGCTATAAAAAACTAATTTTTTAAGGTGTGAAAATTGCGACACACGCTAAATGGACTTGATTTTTCGTATGTCTCCAAGTCTGTGGACCTTTTTGTATTTCTCGATAACATATTGGTGCAGATTATTTTCACCCAAACAAATAATAACCCAAACTATACATTGATGCGGATTGTCTATGAACTCTTTCTGAAGGTCACAGAAACCTGAACGCGTAATTCGGTGTTCTTTCGCATCTGTTGTAGTTAATTTGTGCCTAAAGTATGTAGGAGGATGTATTTCATTAAAATATTTTAACTTCTATAGGGTGGCTCAATAAAGTGTGTTTTGGGATAATTTTTTTAAAATGGAACACCCTGTATATTATTGCATATTTAGCTTTCTTGCAGTTCACTTTACATCATCGTAAGATGAGTAAATATATTTCGATAATTTCAGAGATATTAATAAATAAATAAAAAAATATATTTTTTGACCTTCCTTAAAAAATTGTTACAAATACAAAAACTGTCCTGAAATCAAAACTATATTAGGTATTTACTTTAAGACCATCTAAAGTAAAAATACTTATTTTGCTATAAATATCGTAATCTTAAATCATACAGGGTGTTCCAAATTCTACGCCAAACTTTCTACTCCAAGATCCCAGAGAGATAACTTATTTTCACAAGGATGAAACTTAGTAGTGCTCTCATGTGCTTTGAATACCGGCGTGTTTGTGGGGTTCGCCCTGCGACACCTTGGAGAATATACCAGGCGAGAAAAGTAACTAAAAATAAGAGTTTTTAATGGTTTCGCAGATACACGCAGTATTATTTCATATAGCTGTTTCAATGGTAAAATACGAGAGAAAAATCATTGGGTGGCTTTGATAAAATAAAAAAAAATCCTCTCACACTTTTTTGAGTTATCATATAAAAGTTAAAATATTTTCCTGAAATACATTCTATTACAAACTTTACGTTTGCACTTGAACAAAATTCCCAAGTTTTTTATTCTAGGAGCTCTAGATGCCCGACGCACTATTGCCGGATCCTGTATTAAGAACTCATTTTTTCTCGTATTTATGATTTCATATACCACATAATATAAAAGTAAAATTATATAAGAATTCTTGCCATTTAACTGCTGATGTAGAAATTTAATTCTACGCTGTGTTTGTCATAATGTAGATCAACCTGCTCTCACTATCGGTTTCGGAGTCCTACTCCATCATTAGGTGAGCTTTGGTCGATTCCACAAAATGACAAACAGCGCAGAGTAGTTAATTCCGACTTGTCGGAAAGTAGCGGTTAGATATTAAGTCCCGTACGGTAGATAGCGGCCTGCGTGCAATGGTAGTACTTTCGTACCACCGAGGCGCAACTATCGATAGTAAAAGGATGGTAAAAAGGTTTTTTTTCAGGCAAGCCAAATTATAAAATGGAAAACAAATTTCTTGCAGTATAGGTATATAATAAAATTGTATAAGAGTTTCTTGCCTTGAACTGTTAATATAGAAATTAATTCCACACTGTGTTCGTCATAATGTGGATCAACCTGCTCTCACTACCGGTTTCGGAGTCCTACCCCATCATCAGGTGACCTCGGGTCGATTCCACAATTAGTGTGTCATTTTGTGGAATCGACCCAAGCTCACCTGATGATGGAGTAGGGCTCCGAAACCGGCAGTGAGGGCAGGTTGATCCACATTATGACAAACATAGCGTGGAATTAAATTTCTATATCAGCAACTATTTCTATAAATGGCAACAATTCTTATATAATTTTATTATACAGGGTGTCCCAGGTTGAGCGTGCATTAGAAGTTTCTAGAAAAGTACAATATCTAGATCGGAGATTTTTTGTACATCATTGTTTCACAACGAGATCTATCGATTAAAAATATTTTCAATATGGCGGCACTTCCGGAAATACCGGAAGTTGATAGCAACTTTCTTATTTTAAATGGGTGCCCCATTTTTTATTACATACTTAAATTCTCTGTAAATTTTTATGAATTTTGATATTAAACACTTTATACCTAGCATTAACCGTTTTTGAGAAAAAAGAAATATTAAAAGTTTTTGGACGAAAAAAATTGTTTGTCAAAAATTTGTGTATAACCTAAACGTCAAAATTAGTGATTACCGCAGCCACTGTGTCATAAAGAGAAGACATGTGGCTATCTATTTCAAAAATTAAATTGTTCGAATGTCATATAATAATGACGGCAGCTGTCAGGGAATTCAGCGATTAAAAATTTCTCAAAAATCATTTTTTCAAATGAAAACCCACTTTTTTTATTTCACTAGTGAAAAGGCTTTTCAATTCGCTACTTTTTGACTATACATGTTCCTATACCTAAAATAAATCGTTTTTAAGTTATTTGAGATTTAGTTTTAAACAGGGTTGGAAAAAAGCATGATTTTTTAAAAAAATAAAAAAATCAGATTTATTTGATTTAAATCAGATTTTTTTGATTTTAATTCAAAACAATATTTAAATCGGATTTCCCAAAGACTAGGACTTATTTCTAATTAAAGTCCTATCCTAAATGGCTAAATCTTTATAACTCTGCCCGTTATCTATAACATTAATAATTCTAGGGAGCGTTTGTCATTTTTCCACATCGGTCACCAATATATTTCGCAAAAAAGTCGCTCACTTCAGATAAAAAGGATTTTTTTTCAAACGTCTCAAAAGTATTAATTTTTGTCATTTTAACGCCTAGGTATAAAAATAAAGCACTGTTACACCTCAGCACAAAAGTACAAAAATATAATATTAAACTGATATTAAGTATCAAATTCAACGAGTGTACAAATTGTTGCTCGATTACTGTTTATATTATTTGCAATGTTTGAAATTGATTAAAAATGATTTTTAATGTTTTAAAAAAATAGTATGTATGTTCTATTAGAAGCAAAAATGTACTTTTTGTGCTTCCTTGTAACGTCGGAATAGCTTTACGATGGTCCTTCAAAAGTACAGCATCAGCAAAAAAGTATAATTTTTACTCTTAATAAAACAATACAGAATACAGTATTGTTCTGAAATACTCTTAAGTCGAGAATGAAATTAGTATTATCTAATGTCAAAGTGTAAAATACTTACTGCAGATCAAAATGTCGGTAAGAATTTGGAAAAATACAACCATTTCATAAAAAAAAATATAAAACAACATATTTCCTGACAACGATTATTATAGATTCTCGGGAATGAAGAGAGACTATACTCTATATCAGAAGAACCTATTTCTGCACTAGACTGCGAATGATATGTATTCGAACAGCGAATTTTTGTCACTTACACATAAATTTTAAAATAAATCCCTGCGTTTAGCGGTCTAATGGATTCACACGAAATTACTTCAAAAATCGGTCCAACATTTAACTTGATGAATAGATATTTTTATATAGTTTTATAACATTTGCAATTACTTTTCGATTTATTATCTGTTATATCTTTTATAGAAATATTTTTTATAGTTTTCTAGGACACATTTTTATAACTTTTACAGTTATTTTTTGATTTATAATAAAGTTTTAATAAAATTATTTTTTTTATTTAAATCAATGATTAAAATTAAAAAAATCACTTGATTTAAATCACGATTTAAATCATGATTTAAATCGTGATTGCCAACCCTGGTTTTAAAGCGTATATTTTTCTTGATTTTAACCAGATCTATCTTTATCTAGATCTGGCCATGTCATATTGTGACACTTTGTTCAAAAAGCAGTATTTTATCGATTATTATTTCCAAGCCAACATTGCACTGTTTTTTTTTCGATCATACGATATATTATTAATAATACCAACTATTACATATCACTAAAGAGCGAAAATACGAGATATATTTTTATAAATACACTTTTTAAACTCTTAAGCAGGCAGTATTTATTATATAGGAAATTCAAAAAATTCGTTTTTTGATAGATTGAAATAAATTGTCTGACAAATTGACACTTACTGTCAAAGGAATCTAGATAAAATCAAGGAAAATATACGTTTTCAAACTCAATCTTAAATAACTTAAAAACGATTTATTTTAGGTATAGGAACATGTATACTCAAAATGTAACGAATTGGAAAACCTGTTCACTAGTGAAATAAAAAAAGTGGGTTTCCATTTGAAAAAAATGATTTACGATAATTTTTTAATCGCTCACTTCAATGACAGCTAACGTCATTACTATATGACATTCGAACAATTTAATTTTTGAAATAGATAGCCACATGTCTTCTCTTTATGTCACAGTGACTGTGGTAATTATTAAATTTGACTTTTAGGCTATACAATTTTTTTGACAGGTAGTTTTTTTCCTCTAAAAATTTTTAATTGTTTTCTCAAAAACGGTTAATGTTAGATATGGAGTGTTTGATATCAAAATTCATAAAATTTTACAGAGAATTTAAATGTATAATAAAAAATTGGGGTACCCATTTAAAATAACAAAGTTGCTGTCAACTTCCGGTATTTCCGGAAGCGCCGCCATATTGAAAATATTTTTAATCGATAGATCTCGTTGTAAAACAATGATGTGGAAAAAATCTCCGATCTAGATATTGTGGTTCTCTAGAAACTGCTAATGCACGCTCAGCCTGGGACACCCTGTGTACCTATACTGCAAGAAATTTGTTTTCCATTTTATAATATAAAAGTTTATGATCAAGTGAACTTGGACAGTTAAAAATATTCAAGTGTAATTTTCTATATGAATTGTCTATTTGTCACAAAGTATTCTTAATTTGAAACCTTTTTGAATAAGTCAAGCCAATGTCCGCTTCATCACAAAATTTTTGCATTATACAGTATACGTATTGTATAAAAATGAAATACATATAAGATAGAAATTTAATGTATTCTCTTAGACAATTTATTTCTATTTTCTTAATACAAGATATAAAAAATAACAAACATAATATCTTGACTTCACAACTCCTAGAATTTAAATAAGATTTATAGAAGGAACTAATTCATTATCTTGATGTTTTTCTTGAAACTCATCAGAATAGTCCACATAAAACGTGTAACAGGATAAAAGAGTGTTCTGATGTTTGAGTTGCAGTTCTGCATAATATGTGCCTGAGAGGACGGTCCTAAGTCCTGTTTGTAATTTCACTGTCTTGGGTAATTTAAATAAATACTTCTTTGTTTCTGGACTTATGGTGTAGTTTCCCTATAGGACAAAATGTATTCTGATTATTCTGATTTGCAAGCTTTATATTTAATATACAGGGTGGCGCCTCTCATTCGCCGCGGAAGCTCCAAGGAGAACGGTAGTTCATATCGAAAATGAAATTTTGGCAGCATATAGGTTAACTGAAAGCGTTTTATAAAAATATATAGAATTATACAGGGTGTCCCCCAAAAAAAGTTTCACATCAAAGTTGTGTTTTTTTTTCTAATAGAACACCCTATATATTACTTGATTTTCGGATTCTAGGAAAAAATAAAGGTGAGTTTTATTAAAGAATAATATACATACCTAAAATCTAAGGATTTTGACATATTTCACATTTTGTGAAAATGAAGAGTAAAATTTAAATTTCGATAACAACAATTTCGATACCTAAATTTTAGTTGACCTTGTATAGCCTGATATTTAATTACAGTAACCATTGCATGTTAAACCAAATTGAAATTTTACCCGAAAAGTTACACAGGGTGACACAAAATTAATGTGGAACATTAGTCACTTTTAAAAACAAGTTACTCCTTTATTTTAAATGGAACACCCAGTATATTATTTCGGTGTTCAATGGGGAATTTATATGTCTTCAAAATATTAAGGTTGCCTACTCCTCAGACAAAGATTTTCCTAGATTTTTTAATTTTTATGATTTTGCGCCAGTAGATTTTTATTATTTGAAAAAAATCTAGGGGTGGCTGTGATATACCTTTTGTTAATTTAACAAAAACTAAAGATTATAGGGTAAAATACTCAACGGTAATAAAAAGATACACCTCTAAACCATATTTTAATTATTACACAATTAATCTAGATATAAACCTATAATTATGTGACAAAAATTAGCTAGATGAAATGAAATGCTCAAAATGCTTTCTTTCCTGTTAATTGCATAAAATGATTATCTTTTCAAAATTATCTTTTCATTTTAAAAGGCATATGTGGTGTTCTACCTCGAAAAACAGCTACAATAATTTCTCTCATGTTGTCGACAATAGTTGGTCGAGTTTTTTAAACACTGTCTTTAACATATCCCCATAAAAAAACCAGACTAGATAAAATCAGGAGCATTTAAGTATTCTACTAATTGGTGAATGCACACTGCATTCACCAACTAATAGAATCATATCAATTCTCTATCTTTGTTGGCTAAGTTTGCATTTTCGTCAAATTTCTGAGATTTTTTTTTGTTTTAACTGACACAAAATGATAACTAGTTGTTAAAGTTGGACTAATTAGACAGATACGTTGTAGTAACGTCAGACATATCACAGCCACCCCCTCCATCTCCCCAGATTTTATCAAATAATAAAGATCAACTGACACTAAATCAAGTCAATGAAAATATCTAGGAAAATCTTTGTTTGAGAGGTAGATAACCTTAATAGTATTTTGAAGAGACATGAATTCTCTATTGAATATCGAAATAATATAGTGGGTGTTCCATTTAAAATAAAAGAGTAACATGCTTTTAAAGGTGACCAATGTTCAGTATTAATTTTGTCTCTCCCTGTATAACTTTTTGGATCAAGTTTTAATTTGATTTAAAGTACAATAGTTAATTTAACTACATGTTAGTCTATACCGGGTAAATTCCAATTTAGGTAGATTTTATTGTAATTTAAAAATTGTTCTTTTTTTCTAGATAATGTTGAATATGTCAAAAACCTTACATTTTAGTCATATACTTCTCTTATAAAACTCACCTTTATTTTTCTTCTAGAATCCGAAAATCAATATATAGGATGTTCCATTACAAAAAACACAACTTTAATATGTACCTTTTTTTTAGAACACCCTGTTGAACTCTCTATATTTTTAAAAAGTGCTCTGAATTAACCTACATATGCTCACAAAATTTCATTTCAATACAAACTGTCGTTCTCCTTGGAGTCTCCGCGGCGTATGAGAGGCGCCACCCTGTACAGTGTGGCCAAGAATACTGGACACAAATAGAAAAATCTTTATTTCAAGTTTCTCAAAAATTCAAACTGCTGAAAAATATATGGGCATACTGTATAAACAGAGGCTGTACCTGCGGTATTGGACATCTACAAGGTACATTGTTTTGTATCAAATCGTTTGGACATGATCTGTCACTTGGAATTCCGTAATGACACAGATCAGGATAAGTGCATGATCCAAATTGATTAACACATACAACTTCAATCCATATTTTAAAAGGGAGTATATACCTTTTTAGAATTATAGAAGCCTGAAATGTAACATGCTTTACTATAAAATATTAGTTACGATTGAGCCATTCACTGCATAATTTGATTAACTGCACTTTTGAAAAATCTTAAATTTAAGTGTTAAACCCGATGGTTAAACCATTTGGTATATTCAAAAAATTTTATAATTATAACATTTTTCCCAACATAAGATAAATGGTAATCTCTGATGTTTGGAAGGAACCAAGTGGTTTTACACTTAAATTTAAGATTTTTCAAAAAATGGAGTTATCGAATTGTGCAGGGAATAGCTTAATTGTGTCATGATAAATGTATGTATGTATGAAAATACTGTTTTCTTAGTAATTATTAAAAAAAAATAACTGGGCAGAGCAAAAATTAGCTAACATTAAATTTGTACAGCTTGTAGAGCCAGGTTTTACAATTCCAAGAATTTATATACAGTATACAGGGTGGCTAATTAATGCGGGGAAGTTCAATATCTTCGTTGTTCAATGTTTTATATAAATGTTGCATGGTTTATAAAGGGGCATATCCTAAAAATATGTTGCTGTATATAGGGTATTTAAAAAAAAAATGGTGATAAAGTTGTAGGTTTTTTTAAATTTTAATCTCCATTTTTCTGTGCAGAGCTGACTTCAGGATAAAATTCTCCATAGTACGCTATTTTTATTTGAAGCATTATGCAGTGTTGCCATTCCATTTCTTATTTATTGTGGTTAAAGTGGTCGCTTTATTAAAACTTTCCTATATTTTCCTAAACACCAAGGATAACAAAATGAATCCGTGAAGGTAAACTGACCTTATCGTATACAGGGTATTTTTAAGGCGTGGCCAACATTGCAATATTTAAAATGCTCTATATCAACACCCTGTATATTATTTTTTGGACGGGGAGATGAAAAATGATCATTTTTTGTATTTAAAATTTCCTAAATTTGTAACGATTTTGTAGATATTCGCGGTATTAGAGATTACATATGGCTTTCAACAGTAAATTTTTATCAATCACTTCAAGATTTTTTTCCTAATATTATTTTACTTTTGAAAGGACCATATATGTAATATAATACTGTGAATACCTGCGAAACCGTTAAAAATTTTTAATTACAAAAAATGCCCGTTTTTTAATTCCACATCTAAAGAAAAATACTATACAAGGTGTTGTTTTTAAAAATATTGGTATATTGGTATATTATTATAAATATTGCAATGTTGGTAACAGCATAAAAATACCCTGTACAAGATATTGTATCTTTGGTGTTAAGGAAAATATAGGTAATCATTAATAAAGTTCAAACAGTTCTTACTAGTTTTCAGATATATTGTTTTAACCAAAGTTCTGGTTAATAAGAAATAGCATGATAATACCGCATACTGCTTTAAATAAAAATAGTGTACTACAAATCTATATGCAGAATTTTATTCTGAACCCAATTCTATTGTATAGAAAATTTGAGGTTGCAATTTAAAAAACTTACAACTTTTTACTATCATACATTATAAACTATCAGTACTTTTTTAGAGACACCACAACATATTTGTAGGATAATATGCACCTTTATAAACCATGTACGATTTCTATAGAACTTGTTTTCATATCTTTGTCAACGATGATATTGGACCTCGTTGCACTAACGGGTCATCCTGTATATACATAATTTTTTATATATTTTTGAATACACACCTCAATAGGAGAGATTATATCCACTTTAGATTGCACTGATCCAGATACATAGATATGTCGATTTTTTTCTTCAATTTGAACATCATCTACAGTAATTGGATAGCTACTAGGGGTACATGCTGCTATTTTGTAGACGTGTGCATTATCTCCATGCTACAATACAAACAAATATATATTTTTTATAAATAGGGCCAGAAACTTACGGTTAAATTGATCAATATTAACAAATATAAATAATATAAATATAAATGCATTTTAATAGGTCTGTTACTATATTAAAAACTATATCAACTGAAAGGTTAAAAGTTCAAATAATTATCAGTTATACGATTAGAAAATCATTTGATGTTTACAAAAAGAAATTATCAACATAGTTATTAAAATCAAATAATAGCGAAAATAACAGAATAATATAATAATAATATGCACGGAATAAAATTTGCGAAACACAGGTTGTCGATTGATTACTGCAGTTAGGCGATGTGAGCATATGGAGGGGTGAACAAACGCAGATAAATACGAACGAGCTTCACGATCACATACAAGCAGGAACAAACTTCAATGACAGATTCATCAGCGTTCTTCGGGGTTTCATGGAATTCTTATTTCTGGAAAAATAATTGATGCTGTGCGTAGGCGAAGGAAAATGATCATTGCAAATGCTAGGTTTATAATTTTACGTGAATTGATTAATACAAAGGAAGTTAAACAAAAGCGTCAATGGTGGCTTCACATTTCAGAAGCAGAAATTATTGTAGTGCATGCAATACCTATCTGTGGATTTTAAAAAATTATTTCAGCTGGTCGAACCAAAAATTGTAAACGTATTACCGAGAAGCAGTATCTATTGGAGATAGGCTTAACAGTACGCAAAACGCCTATATTCTCTAGCTTTATCTTTTTCAAAAAGTCGAATTACTTGGAAGTCTCCAACCATTCGTATAGTTATTTGTCAACGGGTTATCTTTGTCTAGTACAAAGAACCGTACATTTGCCAGGCTGTCGCACTGACATAAAATGTGTTCTGTAGTTTATTTTTCATATACAAAAGCCAAAGCAATAAGACCCTAAGTCTTGTTTTTTTTCAGATTATCAAAATTTACACATGGCTTCGCCAGTCAATCCCATCAGCTGCCTATTAAATTTACAATGTTTTGACAGCTTTGACGGTCTTTTTTTTTCTTTGTATGTTCAACTATGAATTTTTCCGTCTCTATCCTGGTGATCATTGCAAATGCTAGGTTTATAATTTTACGTGAATTGATGAATACAAAGGAAGTTAAACAAAAGCGTCAATGGTGGCTTCATACTTCAGAAGCAGAAATTAGTGTAGTGCATCATATTTGCTTAACATCTTAGTTATAGAAAATTCTAGACATTTTAAGAATTTCATTTGAATACCATCTTTGGATTTGGAAAAATTATTTCAGCTGGTGGAACCAAAATTGTAAACGTATTACCAAGAAACAATATCAATTGGAGATAGGCTTAACAGTATGTACGCAAAACGCCTATATTCTCTAGTTATACCTTTTTCAAAAAGTCGAATCACTTGTAGGTTTCCAACCATTCGTATATTTTTTTTGTAAACGGCTTATCTTTGCCTAGTACAAAGAACCGCACATTTGCCAGCCTGTCGCACTGACGTAAAATGTGTTCTGTCGTTTCTTCTTCAGAATATCAGAATTTGCACGTGGCTTCGTCAGTCAATCCCATCAGCTACCTATTAAATTTACAATGTTGTGTTAGTAGCGTAGTAGCCTCACTACAGCTTTGACGGTCTTTTTTTTTCTTTGTATGTTCTACTATGAATTTTTCCGTCTCCGTCCTGGTGATCATTGCAAATGCTAGGTTTATAATTTTTTGTGAATTGATGCATACATAGGAAGTTAAACAAAAGCGTCAATGGTGGCTTCATACTTCAGAGGCAGAAATTAGTGTAGTGCATCATATTTGCTTAACATCTTAGTTATAGAAAATTCTAGACATTTTAAGAATTTCATTTGAATACCATCTTTGGATTTTGAAAAATTATTTCAGCTGGTGGAACCAAAAATTGTAAATGTATTACCGAGAAGCAGTATCAATTGGAGATAGGCTTAACAGTACGCAAAACGCCTACAGTCTCTAGTTTTATCTTTTTCAAAAAGTCAAATCACTTGGAGACTGCACCATTCATATAGTTCTTTGTCAACGGCTTATATTTGCCTAGTATGAACAAGAACCGCACATTTGCCAGGCTGTCGCATTGACATAAAATGTGTTCAATCCCATCAGCTGCCTATTAAGTTTACAATGTTGTGTTAGTAACCTCACTACAGCTTTGACGGTCTTTTTTTTCTTTTTATGTTCTACTATGAACTTTTCCGCCTGTCTCTGCTCTGGTGATCTCTACCATTCTAGAGAATTGTTGGCCACTCACTTCTTCTTCCTTCTCGTTGCCCTTGTGAGCCTCGAGCCTCAGTACGTAGGTTAATGTAAAATTGCTACGTCCACCTAATGTATTTAGAGCAGGCACACAATCCAGGCAAGCAAGTCTTTGCGTGGGACAGCCTTATTTTCAAAATTAAAGGGTTAAAAGATGCATAGAAAACACCTAGAATATTTGCAAAAAAATGCATTTTATTTGTCTATTCTTTGCCGTTTCTCCCTTTATGTCAAGGAGAGATGTCCACACAAGGTGGTAGAGTTGGCCATATAATATATTACTCATAATAATGGTGGTTTATAAGAAATAAAACAAAATCAATTTATTTTATTGATGGTTTTATTAACTTACTACTGTCTACACTCCATACCTAAATATTCAGTAATATTTAAGGAAAAAGTTGTAACCAGTTATATCGTGCTGATAAATATTTATTGCATGACAAAAATATCAACACTTGATAAAATTAGGAATTAGGAATAAAATAATGAAATGAATTTGTCATATTTGGAAACACTTAGCTTAACTGTTAGAACCAATCTGTCTAAGAAACGTTTTTATTAAAGCTTAAAACTTAACAACTCTTCGAACCTTATGTAAACTAGTATCAGTAATACAAAAATCACAAATATAATCGTCAGCATCGTTGTCGTCTACGCCAGCGCACTGATCATGTGACCAGCGTTTGCATGGCACACAAAGAATCCAACCTTCACCTGCCTGCGAGGACAAAAACGTTTTCTCACAAACTCTCGTCACCATCTTCACCTTCGTCTGAGTCAGTATCACTTTTTCTTGTAGGTAAAAGCGACGCTTTGGTTTGTTTTTTTATTTTATTGGAAGCAATATTGTTTGCTTCTTTCATTTCTCTTCTGTGTTGTTTTTGTTTGCCTTAAACTGCCTTCTTTTCTCTTTCTTCCATTATTTTTTTATACGGAGTGCTGGTCAACACAACTGTTGTGCCACGTTTCCGTGTTTTCCTAGAACGTTGTTGCTCGTTCATTTTTGGTAGAGGAAAAACATCTGTAGGGGATACTAAGCTGAATGAACTATCGTGGACCAATTGTTTACTGCAGCATGGTTGATCCTGCTCAACATCTGGGACTGGCGTTTCGGAATTATGTCCTGAACATTAGTATTTTGGATATAAATGTCTAGTGTTTTAACAGTTTGTCCCGCTACTTGAACAAAATGGTTATTGTTATCATTATGGTGGTTGAGATCTAAGTCTTCAGAAGTGTTATTCAAACCAGTTTCCTGCATTTCCGTGTCCTGTTCCGTCGCCTCAGCAGCCTCAAAATTGATATCTGTAAATACGTCGGCATTATATGGAACAATACCAGTTTTTTTGAAACTCTGGATGGCATTAAGCGGTGTACAGAATTCCATATACGATTCGTTGAAAATTGCTGATATTTGATAATCAGTGAAAACCCTACCTGTGTGATTATTGAGCCACTTTTCAAGTGCCTTATCATGATAGATAGATAGATAGATATTTATTGGTAATAATACAAATAATGCTCTTACACGTCAAAAAATTAAAATAAATACAGGTTTAATCACCCATGCTCTTTGCAACAAAAATATATAGATTGACAACCAACAGATAAATGAAAAAATGACAACATATGAACATTTGACAACTAACAGAAAACATTAAGCTTAAAATGAACCAGAATAAATTTACTAATACATACAGTTACACAAACATTGTTATCAAACTAAAGCTAAGTAACAGAACAAGTATAAAGTAATATAAAGATAAAATATAATATAAACATGTCAACAAAACAGGTAAGAGTCGCACAGTCACAATAGGTCATCAAAGCTATTATTAAGGTATTCCTCAATTGAATAAAAGGACTTTTGTAATAAATAGCCCTTAATTTTTGTACAAAATTGTTTTGCATCAGCTTCTCTAATGTGTAATGGAAGTACGTTCAGAAATTTTATACCATGGTAGTCAGTTTCTCTCCTGGTTCTTGAAAGTCAGGGAGTATATTATCGCGTTTGCGAGTTAGGTGGCCATGTATATCACCATGAGTGGAAAAAAGTACTAGGTTGGACCTGACATATTCAAGGCATCTTAATATGTATAAGGAGGGAAAGGTCAAGACCCTGAGTTCCCCAAACCACCAACGGCAGCAATCACGATACCCAAGTCCCGCAATAATACGTATACACCTACGTTGAAGTCTAAAAACCTTACTAGAATGGGCACAGTGTCCCCAGTTAAGAATAGCATATGACATAAGCGAAGAGAAGTAACCGTGATAGGCCGATAATAGAGTTGAAAGAGACACATATCGCGACAACACCCTTATTAGATACGTTATTCGCGATAATTTACCACATAGCTGTGTTACATGCTCTTCCCAGGTAAGTTTAGGGTTAAGTGTAACCCCCAAAAATTTCACATGAGCATTAGAGGGCACATCAATAGTGCTCTGCCTAAATATAAAATTCAGATTCTGGGTTTTAGCTCTATTCAGGCTCAACCGATTTGCCAGAAACCAGTTCTCTAAATTTGTTTGAGTGGCACTAATTATTCCCTCCAAGGGTTCAGAGGGATGGTATTTATGAATGTTGGTCGTATCATCGGCAAATAGTATTAGCGTTGATATATCTTGAAATCTCGACATATCATTAACATATATGAGGAACATTAAGGGCCCCAGAACCGACCCCTGAGGTACCCCATGGTTTAATTGCAGTCTCTGTGATTTATCGTGGTTGTTGACAAACAGAGAGCGTTCCGAGAGATATGATCCAATCAGCAAAGTGCTCTTCTGATTAAAATTGTAGTGATGCAGTTTTTGAAGCAAGATGTCATGCGATACGCAATCAAAAGCCTTTGTCAGGTTATAGAAGGAAGCATAGGTGTCATGGCCCTCCTCCATGGCCTGGGTTATATGGTCTGTAAGACTGTTCATCGCGAGTGTATTCGATTTTTTGTTCCGGAAGCCAAATTGACCCTGAAAGAATAGGTTATGTCTTTCAAAGAAATCTATTGATCTTTTATTATAGATTCAACGATCTTGGAAAAGACGGGTAGCAGAGAAATGGGGCGATAATTCGCTAAATTATTTGGCGAACCCTTGTTTTTAAATATTTGGACTACCCTTGCATCCTTTAGAGCCGAAGGAAAAGTTCCAGCCTCAATACAACAGTTTATTAGTTTTGTTAAGGGTATTATTAAAAGGTTTTTCATTGTTTTTACGATTTTGGTATTGAGATTGTAACATTCCTTGCTTTTACTATTTTTTAGATTTAAGAATTTCTGTCTCACCTGGTTATATGTTGTTGGCATGAAACAAAGTTTCTCAGTATCAGGTGGGTCAGAGAAAAACTCATTAAATGTTTTGTTTGTTGTTGGTAGCCCGGATATAATCTCATTAGCTGTATTGATGAAAAATGAATTAAATGTTTGTGCATTTAGAGTGTCAGACACGTAACAGTAAGGTGTAGGTTTTTTTTACTATTTATTATGTCCCACATTGCCACCTGAGGATTACTAGAGTTTTTTTATGTAATCATCATGAGCCCTTGCCTTAGCATCACATATCTTAACCCGATACTCCCTTCTATACTTTAAAAAGTCCTCTTTGGTAACCAAATGAGAATGGTCTTTAGCTATAGAGTATAATGTATGAAGTGTCTCCCTTATTTCTCGTAACTCATTAGTGAACCAGTTAACCCTTAAAACTTCTGCCTATGATCAACCACAACACGAGATTTAAGTGGAAAGCAATCTTCTGCTGCCCCTGCAATAATGTCAATAAAAGTCCGAAATCTGTCATCTAAAGGTATATCGGTGTTATCAATAAAATCCCATTTCATCACCTCAATTGTGTTATACAAGAGAAACAGTCCCTCATCTGTAACGGGGCTATAATTAATTCTAGTTTGATGCGTTGTATGAGCACTAAGAAAATTATAGCTAAAAATAATACCAGTATGATCAGACAGATGACCAAGATCAAAAGGTTCAGTGCCAATATCAGCGTGATCAATATTTGTAAAAATGTTATCGAGGCATGCAAGTCCTCGAGTAGCAAAATTTATCAGTTTAAACAAACCGTACCCCTCAAAAAAATTGCAAAGTTCAAGCGCTCGACGGTCCTGACCTGAAAAATAAACATTGTAGTCACCAGTTATTATGATATTTAGTGAGAGATTCAGACTGTTAAAAGCATCTGATAAAACTCCCAAAAATATGTTGACATCTCCATTGGGTGATCTATAAATTGTAACCAGTTGGGTTGCAGATTGTTTAAGAAACACACCCGCAACCTCACAGGTCAATTCTTCTGAAAACCTAGACATGTTCAAGTCATGATAGTCAATATCACCTCTTAAATAGATAGCAACACCCCAATGAGTCCTCACAGACCTACAATAACCAGAAGCGGCCCTATATCCCTCTATTGTTAACAATGAAAATTCATCTACACTTAACCAGTGCCCATTAAAACACAAACAGTTAAAAGAATGTTCCTTAAGGAATACCTCAATTTCTACAATTTTGTTGCGAATGCTCTGAATATTGGCATGAAACACAGAGATGCTATTTTATTCTACTACCCTGTTCACCGAACTCTGCCTTTTGGAGGAGAGCTCTTGCTGGTTTGCCGGCGTTGCAGATTCCGAAAATGGTTTATTCTAATACCTTCTGGCTAAAGTTCAGGATCCATGACCTTCTCTGCGAGTTTCTCTGGAACCCCAAGCTTGAAGGATGATTTATTTATTATTTTTTATTTATTTATTCATGCCAGTACAAAAATAGTTTACACACGTCAATATATAAAAACAATATACTAATATAAAATAGAAAAACTTAAATGTGAAAAATACAAAAAAGCACTAACATAAAATTGGAAAAGTTTTACAATGCAAAAATTCACAAGATACAAACCACAGATATTAAAATTCACAAAACATTTAATCAAAATCTGTACGACAAGAACTCGTCAAAAGAGTAAAATGCGTTTTTAACAAGAATCTCCCTCAGTTGTCTGCAAAAAGAACTGTAAGGTAGGCCCGTGATAATGGCCCAGTATCCTGGTCCATCTTGACATCCCTTCAATCGCCAGTACAGAGGTATCAGATTATTTTTATTACGGGTGTCATAACTGTGCACGCCCATGTGCGTCTGCAGATGCTCAGCCCGCCTTGCAAAGCATAGGTTCTCAAATATATATATATATATATATATAAATATATATATATATATATATATATATATATATATATATATATATATATATATATATATATATATATATATATATATATATATATATATATATATATATATATATACTATATATATATATATATATATATATATATATATATATATATATATATATATATATATATATATATATATATATATATATATATATATATATATATATATATATATATATATATATATATATATATATATATATATATATATATATATATATATATATATATATATATATATATATATATATATATATATATATATATATATATATATATATATATATATATATTGCCGGAACTGTAAGAATACCAAAGGAAGTGAAAGCTGCCCTGCAATCGTCCATATATCCCAGCCCAGCCATAACCCTCACTACCCTTCTCTGTATGCCAAACAATCTGCGAAACCCCGTGGATGTCCCCAGGCTAAAACTGCATACGATATATGAGACTGGAATAACTCATAATAAGCCGTTACCAGTACAGTCGTGGATACACAAGCAGAGAGATTCCGGATGACATACACTGTTTTTTTGTCAGTTTTTGGCTACTTGGTCAATAATGGGCGCCCCAGTGTAAACCCAGATCCAATGTAACGCCCAGGAACATGGCCTCTGGTGTTTGATCGATCCCGTTAATATCCCGCAATGAACAAACAATTTCTTTGGTCTTGCCCGTGTTGAGCAGAAGTCTGTTTGCTCGAAACCACTCGCCTACCTGTCTCAATGCCGATTCCGATGCCAAAATTGTACTTCCGAGAGAGCAACCGATACTTGTGATAGTTGTATCATCAGCGAAGAGAGTACATTTTGCAGTAACATTTGTTGGTAAGTCATTGATATAAAGTAAGAACAACAGTGGGCCTAAAACTGAACCTTGGGGGACCCCAAGATTTACTACTTTCTCCCCTGATGTCACACCCTCACACCTCACACGCTGTGACCTATCCTTAAGGTATGACGTCATCAACTCAATACTATCATTACACAAGTTATAAAATTTGAGTTTATTCAAGAGGATGTTGTGGTCGACGCAATCAAAGGCCTTGCTCAAGTCGCAAAGGACCACCTTACTATATAGTTTATTATGAAAGGCTTCAATTATTTGGGATGTCAAATCCAATACAGCCATACCAGTACTTCGGCAGCTGCGGAACCCAAACTGGCAGTCAGTGAACAGATTGTTTTCTTCGAAAAAAAGCCGTCATTTGAAGTGCCATACATTTTTCAAATATCTTAGATACAATAGGAAGCAATGATATAGGTCTATAATTGTCAGCCAAATTTGGGTCTCCCTTTTTAAAAATAGGTGCTATTACCCCCCTTTTCAAAATTCGTGGGAATACGTTTTCTTTTATACAGTGGTTGATCAGTTTGGCCACAGGCACAATAATTATATTCTTGATCGTCTTTTTAATCTTGTGCTAAGTCCAAAGATATCCGCACTCTTCTTGTTCTTTAAGTTATTGATTACAGAACGTACATCATTAAAAGATACTTCAGAGAAGTTAAATTGCACAAGCGGAGGTGTCATAGATAACAAGTATGATATAGAGTTGTTAGCTGAATTTGGAATGTTTCTTCCTATATTTTCTGCAATACTAGAAAAGAATGTATTAAAATCGTCCGGTGTAAGAGTATTTTGGCAGGTATCCCCAGATTTACATCTATGTGAATTAATTATTTGCCACATTGTTTTGGCAGGGTTAGTCGAGCTTTGAATCAGAGCATCGTTATTTTTGATTTTAGCTTGTCTTATTTTATCCTTATATAAGGATCTGTACTTCTTGTATTCTTGACCATTAGTATACCCATGTTCACTCATATCTCTTAACAACTTCAGCTGTTCTCGCATATATTTCAGTTCTGCATTGAACCAAGTGATATTATTTGCCTGATCAGACCTAATAGTGTATAATTTAACAGGAAAACAATCAAGATAGGCTATCTCCAAAATATCCATAAACTTATCAACTTTTTGTTCTGCAGTGAGACTCTCCGAGTTTATAAAATCCCAAGATACAAGTTCTAACCTATTGTAAAAATGAAATAATCCCACCTGTGTGATAGGTCTGACACATCTCTTGGTCTGCTTGATTTCTATACCCTTCATTGAAAATCCCACAATCTGTCCCTTATGATCCGAAACCCCCATATCAACAACACGGGCATCATCAATTTCAATATTATCGCTAACAAAAATATTGTCAAGGCAAGACTCACCTCTCGTCGGCTCAAAGATTGTCTGCCACATCCCGAAGCCATCCAAGAGATCAGACAGACGAACACGGGCAGCTTCAACTGTATTAAAATGGACATTAAAATCACCCGTCATAATGATACTCTTATTTGTGCCCATCCCTGAAAAAAGTCTCTCAACTGAGTTTAAGAAAGTGTTGAGAGATCCTGAGGGAGATCTGTAAATATTAATAATGTACAATTTTAAAATATTAACATAAGCACAACAACATTCAAAGTCTTTATCAGTATCTACACCATTATTCGAATTTTGATGAACAACTTCTGCTGCGAGGCTATCCCTAGTAAAGATCGCTGTTCCTCCTCCAAGGAATTGCTTCCTGGCTGAAGAACTCCTAATAGAATACCCTTGGATCTTCAGAGTTTTTATTTCTTCATCCTTCATCCAGTGCTCCGTGAAGCAAATGATATCAATGTCCTTGTCCACTACATAGGCTTCTATTTCATCCACCTTTTTCCTTAAGGAACGGACATTAACATGTAGTATCCTCAGCGTACAATTACTTGGTTCAGCGTACTTTGTTGGGTTTGTGCCTTCCTCTGGCGCTGTATGTTCCGAAAATGGTTTATTATTACTCCCCTTGGCCATAGGCCTGGACATAGATATTTCTCAGCCTCCTCGCTTGGCACCGATAGTCTAAAGGAGCTATAGTACTTGTCTTTCTTTGTCTTCATCTTCTCACAGTTTATGCCTGTATTCAACGAATTTTCTCCCAAGAAATTGGTTACATTAACACAGGTCATGTCCGTTGCTAGCCCCGACAAAAACAAGGATATCATTTTAGGTGCTGCTTTCAGAGTGGTGGCATTCTCATTTATACCTCTGAGTGGCTCTGGCCGGGTTACCTTTCTTGGAAAGGTCGTATTTAATTTGTTTTTGTTTGATTTCTTGTTTGTAACCACAATCCATTCATTTTCCTTTTGGCTGTTGACATTGTCATTAGTAATGGATATCGGATCGACTTTTTCCGGAACATCGTTATCGATATTGGTATCTGTGTTATTCTGATTTTCAGTACTTACAATTCGGACGTCGAAAACGTCTTCGAGCAATTCTTTCGATTCCGGTTTTTAGGGACTATTTTTTCGGAGTTAAAAATAGTATTGTCGTTACTCACGTTTCTCAAAGATGTCGCTGGGTCCTCAGAATTCGTTTCAAGGTTTCTTAGCTTTGTTTCGAGAAAATTTACCTTTTCTCGCAATAATATGTTTTCTTTCAGGACTTGGTTTTTCCCTTGTAATTCCCTTACAAGGGTTCTGAGAAGCTCAACCTCTATAGATTCTTCAGCTATTATATTTGCACTCGCTTTCCTAACCTTCACGGCTTCGTGATTGCATTCCGTGTTTCTCTGTTCTTCTGCTTGTTCCAAACAAGCTGGATGATACAAATTACTACACTTCTTACACTTTACTACATTTACCACCTTCTTCTTGCAATGTACACACATTGTAGCTGATTTTTTCTCGACTTTTTTAGCCGAATTTTCATCTAACTTGACACTGTCGGCCATCTTTATAACCGACCGATGATAGTGTGATAATGGAAACATGATATCCACATCTAATGGCTGCAATTTATGTGTGCAGTGCGGTGGAAAAACCAGAATTGTGACATAATTTTGCCTTGCTTTTTTGATGACTTCTAGGTTTTTCGTATGGGAAAGGTAGCCGTTCAAAAGTAATAGAGCCGGATCATCAATGGTCGGCTTCACATGATGAAGGAAATGATGAAACCATTATTCGAAAACTTCCACATTCATCCACCCAGATGAGTTACACGCAAGAACAGTGCCTGGTGGAGCTCCGTCTTTAAGTTCTACTTTCATTGCCTGGAAAAAATTAACACAGGCGGCACATAATTTCCGCCTGCCGATACACAAATCACTGCAGTAGTAGAAGTGCCCCTCTCGGCAGAAGTCATGCGTCCCACCTGCTTGCGTCACTGAAGATACTGTCGGTTGGGAGCGTGCTCCCTTCTGTAGTGAGAAATTGACGGTTCAGAACTTTTTATATGCTCAACAATGGAGTTACAATCAATTTTGGTCTTTCCTCTATTTGAAATGCGGCCGTCTTTCCTTGCGGTGATATATAAATTATTTGCATTTAAAGCGTTCCTTATGCCTTTGTCGCTATTAACATTATAACCCAAAGTGGAGAGGAAAAATGTTTTACAAACTTCTTGTTTAATTCCCTCTTTGTCTTTGAAACTGTAATTTAACGTTTTGTTTCTTAATGGACCTTCCCCGACTGTTTTCCTCTTTGTGGCTCTACTTGTGAGGCAGCTGAACAGAAAATTCCTTTAGCTCTCCATGGATAGTTTCCAATATTGTCCATGTATCCCTCTACGTTCCGTTTCTCCTATTTTTTTCTGAACATTTTTTTGCGCAGGAGTCTCCGCAATGTTCTTTCAATAAATGTCCCATTCTTCTTTTTTTCGCTTGAGATTCTTTTCTTTCCGTTTTGTTTAGCTCAAAATACTTTTTTACTTTTTCTTATCTTGCCTTTCTTGCTATATATCTTCATATTCAGTACGTTCTCTACCACATCCTCTAGAATGCTTCTCACAAACTTTTCAGTGCTGTTTTTATTTGCCACTTGGATTGCTTCGTCGCAAATGTTTGAAACAAGGTCCCGTATAAAATGTGTTCCATCAGTTACATCGGATGAATGATTATCAAATTCGGGATTCAAAAGAATGTTACTTAAGACTACAATTTTACGTGACGGTACAGGTTGACTTGTGTCTTCATCAAACGAATTAGACATTTCACTAGACTCGTACTGATAATCTGGGTCCACTTCAACTTCAGGTTGTCTTCTCTGACTTTTACTTCTTTTTAGTGCTTGTATATCTGCTTTTAGCTTTGTTTTTAGGGCCAACGTTACTAATTTTTTACCCCTGGATGTCATCTTTGAAATATGCACTACAACAAGAATTATCAAACTTATTAGACAAAATTATCTTAATATCCTTAATATTTAACTTACCAACAATTACTTGTTTAGTACAAATACTCCAATTATTCACTATTTTATGTAAACTGCACATAAACAATAATAATAATAAATCTCAGTGACACCGCACAAAAGTCACATCTATTCAGAAGAGTGAGGTTATGATTCACCTTAATTTAAAACCACGTGTCTTGGCGTTAGAAAAATAAGACGTATCTGCACTCAAATCTGTTAGGCCCCTTTGAATAAGAAGACTAAGGAAGGAGCATAATGCTATCCATGTATTCATGCATGGTGGGCGGAAAAAGCACTCTAGGGTGGGGATCCTTGACAGTTCTGTTTGACGATTCATTTGACATTTGAATTTGATTTGAAATTTTGTGGATTTGTCAGTCTTTACGGAGCTTATTTTATGTTATTTATTATTTATTCTACTACTGATAGTTGTATAAAGGTAGTAAATCTAGATGGAAATTGTGGCAGAACTTAAATTAACAGTGACACTATCGCGATTTATCGAAAAAGACTCTAAAATAGTTGGTTGTGTAGCGTGCGGTAGATCTCGGCAAAAATTGAGTGAAATAATGGAACAACTTTTCGCTAGTAAGTTAGTAGTTGGTAGTACTTTTCGATCATTTATGAAATTCACTTAAATTAACTAAATTATATATTTTTCTTGCATTTTAGCTTTTATTTATTACTTGTCAAAGAGTAGTTGTCAAAGATTTTAGATACGTTAATTTGACTTACCTGCTTCAGTAGCGTATCGGATGTTTGTGTTAATAAATACTTATTATAACTTATCTATTTTTATTAGAATTATATATTTTTATAACAATTTTAATAACTACCAACATTTATTTACAACGTAAAATAAAACAACAAATTATTGAGTCTACCCCACGTCTACCCTACATCATAGTTTTACATTTTTTAAATAAAATTAGAACGACACTGCTAAACCGGAATTTAAGTCGGCCATATTTGAGGCCCATCGCGGTGTACCTAAGATTTTTGATATGCTCCTTCCTTAGTCTTCTTATTCAAAGGTTACGCCCAAATACACTAACATTTCATCAGATACGACCATTTTAACTAACAGACACAGCTTTTTTGTAGATACGCCTTTACTATTTTCAATTATATCCCCGTTAATATTATCAGATACGCCTTGAGCTTTTAACAGACGAATCATTGCGCCGAATTTTTTGAACTAAATAACTCAAAACGACCATTTTTGTAGATACATCCTTTTCAATTAACACGGTAGATCAGGTGTAGGTCGAGTCTTAGTTAATTTCGTTTCGGGAAGCGTTTGCATAGGACCGAGGCAACCGGTCGGTTTAAAACCTTTGTTGTTTTTCAAGATTTGTAATAATTGTCTTTTCGAGGTTATTATTTTTTTCACTTTGTAACCTATTGTTTTCCTTTAATAGGTATTTGATTCTTATCCACCATTTCTTCAACGAATCGGTTCAGTAAACTCACCCTTTCGAGCAGTTTTTCATTCACATGATTAATCGACAGAAAATCGCCCGCCTTGCCGATTTCTGACGTCAACATTCTTTGGCGCCAAATCACAACAGTTAACACGTGCCTTGCCAACAAATTTAAGACTTTTTCGCCTAGCACAGCTTCCATGGAACATTTCTTCACAGTTAGAGTTACACGACTTTTTAGCACAACACTTACACATTCTAGCGATAGATTTATCACTGCAATCTCCAATTACACTTCCCGCATCCGATTCGCCGTCATCATCGGACACCATATTCACTACCTATCTAAATGAACTGTTTATAATAGAATTAGAGAATTGGCTTGAATCACCTACAACTGGCCTATTGTAATATTTCCGAAACACCGAGGGTGTTTCAGACCAACCCGCTGTTTTTCTAATGATATCTAAAGATACCCCGTTCTGGAAGGCTTAGGAAGTAGATGCATGTTGTACTGAATGAATACAAAATTTATAATTAACACCCGCTGTACTAAAAAAATATTTTATCCGTCGGCTTATTGTGTTCATAGAAGCCCATAGGTATGGATTGCTAGTGCATATTGCCCATTTAAATTACGGGTCCCAAGTTTATGCGTCTACACCGCGGTCTTATTTAAATAAGCCGAACGCGGTACATAACATGGGAATCAGGAAATCACTGGGCGCTTTTCATACGAGACCCCTACCAAGCTTAATGTATAATCAGAACAACTCACACTAAATTATATTAGAGAACGACACCTATTAGCATATGAATTTGGTCTATATGTTAATCCGGAACACCCTAATCACAAGAAATTCTTCAAAATTATTTACCCCCAAATCAAACATAGATACAAACAGTATCAATCAGCATCACACCACCGTTATGTAGATATAAAGGAAAGACTGTCAATCAATTTGCCTCCTCCTTTCAATATTGCGCCATTCTCCCGTATGTTTCCGCCATGGAGTCTGCATCCACTCTCGCTTGACCTATCACTCAAAGTCCACAACAAAAAGGAATACTCACATCTCTATAAGAGCACAACTCAAAGACCTCATCAACTCAAAGTATCATCGACTGGTTTACACCGATGGCTCTAAAACTGATAGGTACACTGGAGCGGCTTTTCATACGTTTGATAAAGAAATGTGTTTCTCAC